ATGAAAATAGAGGATTTATAAATATATGTTTCATCACCATTAGCGAAATTCAAAGGTAACATTACTGAATTTTCTTTAGTATGTTGTTTGTCTTGTTTTTCTGGTTTTCAATTCCTTGTGTTCTACTTTGCTTTCTTTATTTGTCCATTTATTCATGTCTAATTTGTATAAAAATCAAATCAATCGTATGAGGTGATTAGTGATGACATGCAACATACTTTGTCGCCATCGATGTACTCGTTATTTTGTCCGCGATTGACACATGTTGCAGCCTGATCCTATAGCCTCTAGAAACTTACGTAGGAATCACACAATATCTTTAGACATTGCCTCATCCAGTTTCATGATGACAAGAACATTTATGTAAGCATCATCAACGGTCTTCCATTAATTTCTATCAGTTTTTTTCCTATTGTATATGTTTAATTTTTTTGTTATATCAGGAACGAGAATGAATTATATCAACCCTATAATTTATTCCTTCAAAATTGGTACTGTTTTTTATTTTGTTAGAAAGGTTTCAAAATAAATTTAGTTTTTCTCTCTTCTAGAAAAAACGATAATATTTACGACGGTCAATATAAGTCACGATGAATAAGATTTTAATTTAGATATATCTTTTGTGATAGGTCTTTAACGTACATTTCACTTAAATTAATTCTAAAAAAATTCAAAAATAACACCACAAGAGAATCAGACTTATAGGACGTTAAAAATGTTTAAGTATCCTCTTAACCTGTTTTATATAACTTACACTTATATAACAAAACAATTGTATGCTATATACAGCCAAACAATTATGCACTATAACTGATTTTATAAGACATTTTTTTAAATAATATATCATAAAAAATTTAATAGGATGTTTTTTTTTTCCAAAGCAGACATAAAGATTGGTAAAACGTCCAAAAGCATCTTATAAACTTATTGTAATAATTTTTCATAGTACACACAAATGTTTCATCCTGAACAACAAGTTATATAGTACAATTTTTCAAATATTCAGACAATTTTACAATCCTGTAAACCCGAATTTGTTATAACATAATTACAAAACGTTTTAAAAATAATTAATTTAAATTCCAATACAGTACCCAAGAAATTACAGAAATACCCCTAGACTAGAGTATAGATTTTACCAAGAGAATATTCCAAAAGAAGTAATTTGATTGTCCAAGTGTGAGGTAGATGACCAATTCCACATAATGATAATGATGGGGGGATGACTTGAATTTGGTTTAAAATGTTTACCATAATTTCAAAGTCCACAAATCTTAGGATAATACTTGACTTCTGACCCATTCAAACTCACATTTTTGTCCCTCCATTCCAAACATGTCACATCAAAACTATTTAAATACATAGATTTTCTTATTACTAAAATATCTAAACAAGCTTAATTAAAGTGTAACGTAATATTAAAGGGTCGTTGTTTTAACGGTACGAGAGTCTTTGATCTTCTAAGAGGTCAAAGGTTCAAACTTTGTCAAATGTGAGGAGGGTGTGTGGGTTTATTTGTTCTATTTGTCGTATATAAATGTTATATATTTCCAAAAAAAATTAATGTACTTTATTGTAGTTTTTATTTTATAGAACATATTTCTTTTTAAAATTTACATTTTGATGTTTATGAAAGAAGAAAATATTTCAAATAAATAATAATGTTTAACTAATTTATTTTCAAGAATATGTTTTTTTTCTTTTAAAATTATAATACATTTATTTTTTTTATTTATCAAGTTATAAAAATATGAAAAATTAATATAATATGGTTAAATGTATCAAAAAACATAATATGCTTTTTCAAAATTATAGATTAAAAATATAATTTTAAAATAAAACTGAAACAAAGTTAGATTTATTTAAATGCAACTTACGTTAGTAATTGTTCATAGTATATTATAAAGTATTTGATAGAAACTCTTAAAAACTATTTTTATGTATAAAGTAATTTTTATTGAGATATATTACTTAAAATTCAGGATTACAAGTAAATTGTGTGTAAGTATAACTTATTAAAGGTTCATGTTTGAATTTGTGTAACCAACTACACATAAACATAATCAAATACAAGATAAACATCTCATTTTTAAATATAAAAATTCTAAAATATAATTAGTATAATTATTGAGTTCTAACATGATATTTAGTTATTATTTTTATAACAAATTATATTATTAAACCAAAAATAAATTACTTCGATAATGAACCTAAATTAAACTATAATTAAAAAAATGAATTAAAAATTATACAAAAAAAAGGAAATTTTTAAAAAAATAAATTTTTATGATATCTTTAAATTTATATTATATTCAAAAATAAAACAATATCGTTTTCTCAGAACCCATAAAATCGTACCATAACATCGACAGAGACAAGAATAAAATAAAACATTAAAATCAAGATGTATCTCGTTGCATTATACGAATACTCTTCTAGTATCTCCTAAAATATTTAAGATATTTTGAGTAATCCGAAAAAGGTATCTTACAAGTATAAATATAAGATATAGGAATATAAATTAATTGTTAATATATTTTTTATCTTTTTTTTAAAATGAACATCTTCAACATATTATCCATAATTTCAGAGTATTAAAATTTTAAAAAAAAAATTATATTTAATTTCAATAGATGTTTTATTTTAGAGATTTCAACATTTATTATACTATAAATTTATTATTTCAATACACTTTATAAAAATAATTTATATAAAAATAATAATAATTTAATTTTATTGGTGAAAATGATTAAAAAATAAATTTCTTTTTGAACACATCAAATTTTAAAGAATTCGTTAAACATAATTTTTTTAGTTTTTTGCTATCTTAGAGAATAATATAGAGAATCTGTTGAAGCAAAAATAAAGAACAAAAACATTGTATTTTCTATTTTTGAAAATGTGTTAGAGATGCTTCAAAGGATACTAGAAGTCTACTCGTACAATGCAGCGAGATATATCTCGATCTTAATGTTTCATTTTATTTTTTCTTTTTGTTCAGTCGATGTAATAATAAGGTTTATATGGTTTTGAGAAAGCGATAATGTTTTATTTTTGAATAAAATATAAATATTAATATATCATAAAAAATTGAAAAAAAAATATTGATATTACTATCAAAATAACTATTTAAAATTGGTTTTTTTTTTGGTGTATCGCTTTAGTTCAATTTATTATTTTTGGTTTATTAATATAATTTTTTTATAAAAATGATTATTAAATATTTTGTTAGACTCAATGACCATCCTAATTATATTTTAAATTTTTTATATTTAAAATGAGATGTTTATTCTCTATTTGATTATGTTTATTTACAGTTAGTTACATTAGTTCAAACATGAAACTTTAATAAGTTATACATACGTACAATTTACTTGTAATTTTAAATTTTAAGTAGTATACATTAATAAACAGTACTTCATGTATAAAAAATAGTTTTTAAAAGTTTTTATCAAATATTTTATAATATAATATAGATATAGATATACATATATATATATATATATATTAAATACAGTAAACTACTTTTTTCGTCCCTATGATTTATTAAAAGTTGATGTTTTTGTTGAAATTACAGTTTTTATACCTACGGTTTGTAACTTGTTTTTGTTTTTGTGTTTTCGACTCTATGTCTATAGCTTCTTAACAGAAAATAAGAATAAACATCAAAAGACCAAATTATCCCTAACTTAAGACAGTTGAAAACATAATTTTTAAGCCGTGGGGATGAAATTAAACTTTAACAAATCATAAGGACTAAAAACGTAATTTACTCTAATATGCAAAAGAAATGGTCTTGCTAGCTAGTACATCAATGGACATGTCACTTTCTTATATTTTCTATGGAAACTTCCTTTTTCAATTAAGAATTGTTGAACGTGACTCCTACCATAAAATCTACTCTTTTTCTTTATAAAAATTTAAATTATACCAAAAACGAGAATTTTAATATTCAATTTGATATCAATATCGATATAGTTTTTCAGGTATTTAGGGTTTCAAGTTAACGAAAAACACGTTCACCCACTATTTATAGTTTTTATTTTATTTAAACATAAATTTTAGATTTTCTATTCCGAAACAATAAAAGCTGTTTTGATTTATATAAAAATCTTACATCCCACTGTAATATATTTAAACGATAAGTTGTTTATTTTATGCACCGGTTTTCATGTTGTCTAAGTGTAAAATTCATCGTAAGACATAAATGTAGTCTATATAATTATGATAATGGTTCATATTATGAATTTTCCCTTTATATACCCATAATTTTTCACATACATATATTACAATAAAATCGGATTTATAGGACACTCTCAAATTCTAAGTGTCTTAATAGACCTCTTTATAGGACTTAGTTTATAGGATTAAAAAAAATAAAGTGTCCTATCTAAAAATGTTGTAATAAGTTTATATGACGTTTTTTAACATCGTAATAAGTTTTTTAGGACACTTTTAATATAAAGTGTCTCATTCTCAACTTTATAAGATACTATTTGAAAACTGTCCTGTAAAAAGTTGAGTTTATAGGACAATTTCTCAAAAGTGTCCTTTAAAATTGCTAATGCGACATTTTGTATGAAAAATGTTCTCAAAAACTTGTTAAGACGTTCAAAAGTGTCATATAAACTTATTACAACACTTTTAGATATGACACATTATATTTTGGTCCTATAAATTAAGTTCTATAAAACAGTCTATTGAGACACTTAGAAATTGTGGGTGTCCTATAAACCCCCAATTTTGTTGTAGTGATATATATTATATATTTATAATTAAAGAGATGGACATAAAATCTTAATTTAAAATGATTTTTGTATAAAATATAAGCATCAAAATCTGGAAAAATATTTAACGCGTGACCCCACTCTTAATTCTACAAAAGACCCCACATCTCTTGGCCCTTTTACAAAGACTTCACTCATTAAGTCTACCCCACATGCCAAACTTTTAACTCCATTTCCCCCCTTTAAGTATATATACAAACCCCATGACTCAATCCAACACCACATCCACAACTTCCCAAACCCACCACCTCCATCTTCATCTCCATCTCCGTCTCGACCTCACAGCGTTAGGATTCGACTTCGACCATGGATCCGACTTACTTGGAGCTCCAACTGCCCGGCTTCCGCTTCCACCCTACCGAAGAAGAGTTGCTCGATTTTTACCTCAAAAAAATGGTTTCTGGAAAAAACAACTTGCGTTTCGACATCATCGGCTATCTCAACATTTATCTTTACGATCCTTGGGCTTTGCCAGGTAATTTTTACGAGTTTTAGTAACCACAGCTCATGTCTTAGCTTCTTTCGTTTATCATTCAAAATTATGCTTTTGTTGGATAACATTTCTCAACATAAATGAAGTTATTATTACCACCTGCTTTAAGGCTGTTTTCGTCATTTTAAAATGAAGTGGGCATAGAGATAAATAGATTTTAAGAGTCTATAAACTTAAATTAATAAAATGGAAAAGATTATTTCGTTATATAGGTAAGAATACATTAACTTAACAAACCATAAATTTCGTTTAAATATATTTTTTTCAACTGTAAGGTTATTTTTGTCATTTTAATAATGTATTATAGAAATGATAAAGTGAAAACAAGATTTAATTTTACAGTTTTGACCTCAAGGGTATAACTGGATGTTTGGAAATTGTAGGGTTGTCAAAGATTGGTGAAAGAGAGTGGTACTTTTTTGTGCCAAGAGATAGAAAGCATGGGAGTGGAGGGAGACCCAACCGGACCACCCAAAACGGTTTTTGGAAGGCAACTGGATCGGATCGTAAGATATTCAGTTTAACTGATCCGAAGAAGCCCCTTGGCTTGAAAAAAACTTTAGTCTTTTACAAAGGCAGAGCACCGAGAGGAAACAAAACGGATTGGGTCATGAACGAGTATCGTTTGCCTGATTCTTACCCATTACACAAGGTATTATATCGGAAAATATAACTTGAGTTCAGTATACAAATTTTAATGCATGATGTACAATCTATAATCGGAAAATTTGAATGTTTGTTTTTATAGGAGATCGTGTTGTGTAAGATATACAGAAAGGCAACTTCTATGAAGGTGTTAGAGCAAAGGGCAGCAATGGAAGAAGTAACCAAGACGATCCAACCATCCACTCCTCTGTCTCTCGAAGAACCCATCTCATTCTACACTCAAAATGATAACTTAGCATCATCATTGCCGACACCAATGGAATCATGCCACATGGCATCCGATAACAGTGATGAATTCCATCAAGACTTGCTACTTTTCTGGGACGAGAAATTGAAAGACGAGTCTTCACCACCACCAGCACCTATAACGCCAACCGAGTCTTTCCATGTTTTATCAGACAACCATGATGAATCGTGTCACGACTTGATGTTTATGTTAGATGAAAAATTGAAAGAAGAGCCTGACGTCATCAGCGATGCAAACAGTAGTAACACTGACAATGACAATAGTATTAGTAAGGTCTCAAGTTTAAGACTACCTACAGAAAACGAGATGTTACGAGAACTACAATTGCCCAAGATGAACACGGACTGGACCCAAGACTCCTTTTGGACACAATTATGCAGTCCATGGTTAGACAATATAATGTTGACGTCTCCTTATGCTAATATCCTTAATTTCTAAGGTTGTAGAAAATATTAACTTAATTGTAGATTATATTTAAACGTAAAATAAAAATGGAAAGACTAGTTTCTAGATTAACTTGTCTTTCTGTCTGTCTGATCACAGCTGTAATAACTAGTATTTTAAATGTTAGTCTTTGCTACTGGATTTATAAGTATAAATTCATATTTGTATGTTGATATCAAGAACTAATAAATGTTTCGTTCTTTCATCTGCATAGACCCTAAAGTATAAATTCATATTTGTATGTAGATACCAAGAACTAGTAACGTTTTGGCCTTTCATATGCATAGGCCCTAGCGGGTCTACATTGTCAGTCTTTAATCGGCCCGTAGCTTGCCAAATTAGGATTGGTCCGAACTTTCTTTTTTTGGAGCGCCTTGGCTAGATCCGTAACTGAAATGGACGTTTCTGGACTGTTTTGTAACCACCTCTAGTCTAGTGTATGGACCTAAACATTCCGCAAGTTCTCTTCAAAAAGTACTTGTTTTCTTTTGTAGTGGTTAATTGACTTCACTCTGTACTTAGGGCTTAGGGCGAAGTCATTCATATATTTCATGGGTCCAGTTTAATAAATATTGCTTTTCTGAAAAATGAGGAGTACAACGATATTATATTAATTTGCTTCACTTTCTTGAAAATCTGTACTCTTGTTTTATTGTGTCAGTGACTTAGGGGTTGTTTGGTTGACTTTTCATTAAGTCATGTATGGATAAAATTGTTTGTATGGATTTATCAATCTGTATAGATTGCAGATGTCTTTGTTTGAAAGAGTTTTTCCATAGATGGAAAGGAACGTGTTTTTGAATTAGGAAGGATAGATTTCGTGAAAAAAATGAGGCTTTTTGGTATAAAGCTCTCCCTAGAAGCTTACTAAATAAGTCACTTTCTATATCCTTAAGCCATTAGTAAACAACCATATATAGCTGATTGAATAAGTAGTAAGTTCCATGAAGCTCATTAAGCCGCTAACAAACATGCCCTTAGTGGTAGGTATCTTGTTATGAATATTTTCACAAGCAATATTATTAAACTCTAGTTAAGGAAGTGAAATATTTCTTGTTGCCTTATTATAAATAGTTTGTATTGTTGGACCATTACTTATTTGGTTTATGTATCATCAAGTCCTGTATGTATCAAGTTGTATGTATTGATTAGATCGTCTGTATGATTTAAGAAAAATGATTTTTTGGTTATTGTGTTGAATAAACAGTCTCAATGTCAGAAATGACTATTTTACCTCTCATTTTATATTTTTGTCTGATTAAAATAACTATCGAGTAAAAATACTAAGTGATTAACTTTGAATGATAAAAAATATCAATTTTCAATGTTGTAGTTCAAAGTTACACAATGTAAGCCATGAAACCAAATACTAGCAAAAAATGCAATAATTTCACAGTAAATTTGCTGACCATTATAGATCATGGTTTCCCAATCAATCAAAGATGTAATATTTCATCATCACAATTTGAAACTCATTTTATTAACTTCTTTTCGTTAACCTTAAAAAATTGGATAGATCTATGAGAAATCTTATTCAGTTAGATATGGTAGATTCAAATGGGATACAAAAAGAGTTGACTGGCGAGCTGTATGAGGTAGTAAACTCTCAAGTACGGTTCTAAGGGAAAGAATTAACCCACCAATTCCGACAGGGGAGAACGGGCCATTCGGCAGGGGGATTCTGAAATTGCTAATGAAGTTTCAATATGTCTTCATCCCAATAACAGTTCATATTTGTCGAATGGGCCACAAAGTCTTCTACATCGAGTTTCTTAACGACATAACAAACACCAAAATTCTAATTTAAATGTTTTCCTTGCATCTGGACATTACTTTTTTTGTAAAACACATCAAATAGACAGAATCTACCTTTTAATGCACTATAACAAACCTTATCCAAGAACAAATCATATATTGTTTGCAATCAATCTTAAATTTGTATGTTGCCCCAATTTCCAAAAAGGATTACCGATTGACAATCAACACAAAAGGATAAGATCTTATGCTTATTCCACCTGTGGTATGATCTAAAAAGTTACTAAAATTGAAATCTTTTAGGAAAAGAAGATAGCCATGAAACAACCAAATTGCGCAATTAGACTTATGTTCAGCTGTAAATTTATTTGTTAATAAAAAAAGAAGCAACAAAAAAAATATATTAGACAAAAAAAAATTTGCCATATATTTATGTAGGGATGGAAAAGAACCTTGTACCCGACAGGGAATCCGGTCTGACTGTGGAATCCCCAAGTTGTCCGAGGATGATGACTGGGACGATGAATCCCCAAATTTATAAACCGGGGATGGGGATACCTCCTTTCTTCGACCCCGATTATTAATAATAAAATTTATGCAAATATATATAATATTAATAATAAATACAAAATTATGCAAATGAGAAATCAAGGAAGTATATATAATATATAATTTTAATAAATATAATCAAATTTCAATAATCTAAACATGTAAAAACGAATTGCATCATTGATTTGATTGTTCGTTTAAGGTTTAGGGTTTTAGGGGTTTAGGGTTTAGGGTTTAGGGTCTAGACTGTTAAAATCGTTTTGTGGTATTTGACATTTAAATGTTGGAAAAAGAAATGTTCGGTTGCGATTTAACGATATAGTTATGCTATTGGTGGTTTGGGGTCAAAATTTAGCGGATTTGGGGTCGTCGGGAAGTCGTCCGTAGAAGAAGCCACTCGAGACACTAGACTGTGGTCAGGTTAGATTTGGATGTTTACTTGGGAAATAAAAATTGAGGCGACTTGTAGGGCGCCTAAATTCACACGAAAATCCACCCACATGGGTCGTGGGTGCGTGTCGTGTGCCTGTCATATGTGAGTGGAACAAGTCGGGTGACTTAGGGGCTGGGTGATTATGCTGCCCCAAGTAACGAAAGATCCATTAGAGGGCTCTTTTACCCGAGTTTTTCGTATATCTATGCACTATAGAAATTGCATAGGGAAGGTTAGGGTGGGTATAAATCATGGTATATATTAAGGATCCCACCATACTAGAATATGACACTCTTTCCATATAGGCATCATCAATTTGAGTCGAAAGACTTAAAGCGGATGATAACTTGAAAATGAGGCGCAAATGAAGTATTGACAGACTTTGCCCCAAACAAGTAGAACCGGTGAAAAACTTTCTTGACATACCCTTTTTTAGTAAGGTATAATTTTTCCCTTTTCTGCCACGAATAATACCCATACCAATAATTCTCTTTGCGGTTCCCAAATCCATCATATTAAATTATGAATTCAACTGGTCTTTAACTTTCTGAGCTTCTCCCATATCTTTAGACACTAAGACTGTTGGTCCCAACCATCAAATTTGGTAATAATACTCATAAACATCCGATTACAAAACTTAAAAAGGAAAATGTTCTTGTTTACCTTGTATTATAAAGAACCATATCCGATATACTTTATTACATCGGATAATATCCCACCAGATGTCATCTGATCTTATTGTCTTGAAGTTTCAGATATATCACCCATCAGATATGTCTCTACACAATTGGATTTCACCAAGACATTCATCCGATCCTAACATAATGGATTCTTTAATCAGATAAAGGTTTCTGTTTTATGAACTTATAATTTGTATCCGATGTAGCACCTTCATAAGATTCTATAGCTAGTAAATCTGGTATAACTTATATTTTGGATATTGAAAAAGATAGGATTTTTACTTGTAAAAGTCTTGTATCTATCTGTATTATTTATAGAATAGAATGCCTTCAAGAAAATAGAAGACTAGTTGAAGTGAAGTCAAGATTGTCAACAAAGCAGATTGGTTTGCCATCTACCAAAAAGAAGATGAATACAAGATAAAAATCAACTAAATAATCTGACAAATACTACTATTGGTAAGATGAATCTTGAAGTACAAACTTAACCAACAAGTTTGGCTCACCAACTCTCTTGCTTCCTTCCTTGATATGAGAACATGTACTACATGTTAGCTTAAATAAGTACAAAGGAACCATTGTACTTTGCTTACTTTACTGTTCCCCCGACATATCTAAGGATGTAGTAACTTAACAAAGTGTCCACATTAAGCTCTCAGGTTGAAATGAAGAATACTAGTATGCATGGATCACAAATAGAAGAAGATATGCATTAAAGTTGGACGATAAGCATTTAATGCAAAAATGGCTATCAAAGGTCACCCTTGTCATTCAATTCAACCCCATTCTACAAACACTTCATGTGTACGTCATCACTTTCTAGGACCAACAAATGGCATCAGAGCGGTTTGTTTAATCTATAAACAAGATCTGAAATGACTTCCACAACTAATGATAATGGTTTCTTATCTGAATCTTCTAGTTTTCAAAAATCAAACTTTATTCTATTTAAAGGTCGAATTTCTCTACACTTCTTATTTATTCCCCATTTTCTTAGATATAAACAACCACATGTCTCCTTTTACTTTTGGAAGACAAAGGTGAAATGATGGAAATTCCTTTAAAAATATATATGTGTGTGTTTTGTTTTATTTTCTTTTATCTCATTGAAAGTTGTTTTAAAAGAGATAAGAGAAAAGAAAGAAAAAGTTGGTGTGGGTATTTTTAGCTCCTGTGTTCGAAGCAAACAAAAGAAAAGAAGAACGAACTGCTTTCGTGATTTTATCTGATAATTTTTTGTTGTTCAAAGTTATCATCTTCTTGTGTTAACAAGGTGAGTTTTTACTTTAAAGTATCATTTGATTTGCTTTAATAAAGAACCGCATGGTTCCATATGTGGGGTGTTTTTAAACGATTATATGTTATTTTTAGCATAATATTGGGATTTGATATGTTATTATCAACTGACTGGAATAAGGGTGACATAATCAAGAGAGATGTATATTTTGTAATAAAGGTGGCTTAATCAGGAGCTAGGTAAATTTGTAATAAGGGTGACATAATCAGGAGCTGGATAAATTTGTAATAAGAGTCGCATCTTTATGATGCGATGTGATTGATTTTATCGCATATGTATGATGCGATGAAATTGGGATTTGAATTGAAGTGTTATTTTATCACATCCTTGTGATGCGACATGATGGGTTTATCACACAAGTGTGGTGCTAGAAGTTGTGTTTATCGTATTCATATGGTGCGACAAGTGGTGGTTATCGCATCTGAATGATGCGAGGAATTCTGTTTTTACATCAATGGGATGCGGAAAGTTGGTATATTATATGTTTAGTGTGACAAATTGGTATATTATGAGTTTGTTGCAATAAATGGAGTTGTCTCATCTATATATGATGTGACAAAAGAGGTTTGATACAATATAATGTTATTTATATGTTATCATTTGAAATGTTGATTTTCAAAAGTGTTTTGGTGATTCTCACCCTGTAATAGTAATCAAAGGGATTACTCACTAGATCTTATAGTCTAACCCTCATTTTTTTTCAAAAATGTGCATTACAGGTCGGACAAGTGAAAGGTAAAGGGAACGAAAAGATGTGAAGGGGATTATTATTGCTTTAGATCTGTGGATTATTAGAAAGTTGATTATGTGTATGTACCTAAGAATTTGTTATATATGCAAGTCTTGTATTTGGTGTGAACAAAAAGTTTGTAACTACTTTTATATGTAGCAATTTGTATATATTGGGACCAGTGTGAAATTTTTGTATTTCATGTTATATGGAATATATGTGTTTTATGCAAATGGGAGTTGAGGTGTTACATCTAAGTTATGGAATTTTAACTAGTAACCTTTGACAAAGTTGTCAGTGTGGTAAACATAATCTGTTAAGTATCAGTCAGCTTTGTGATAAAGGTTTTTTTGTCAAATTTCTTGAAAATAAATGTTCTGTTCTTCCTCACGGGAGCATTAAAGTTCTATTTGGTTTTAGTAAAACAATGTCTATGTAATGGACATGTTTTCTGCACGCTCTTCATCTTTTCAATTTGTCTGTTTCTTCTCTAAAGCTTCTTTTGAGAAAAATTGGTTGTGGCATAAGCACTTATCTCACTTAAATTTTAAATCCATCAATGATTTATCTCATAAAGGTCTGGTGAAAGGACTTCATTCTCTATATTTTTCCAAAGAAAAATTGTGTGATTCTTGTGAAAAAGAAAAACACTTCAAATCCAGTTTCAAATCTAGAAGTTGTTTTACTGTTACACCCCCTCTCCATCTTCTTCATATGGATTTATGTGAGATAGTAAATGTCTTCAATCTTGGTGGAAAGAAATATACTCTTGTCATTATTGAAGAATTCTCAAGATATGCCTGGGTCATTTTCTTACAAGCTAAAACTTATGCAAGTGGAGAAATCATTCAGTTCATAAAACGAATTGAAATTCTAGGGAATATTCATCTATCAAAATCTCAACGGGGATTCTAAACTTTGTGTATTGGGTTTTTTTTTATCTAGATTTATAGTTTAATAATATTAGGCTGGGTTTGGGTTAGTAGGGTTCAACCGTCAAGGATTCCTGAATGCAAAGCATTAAGAACCAACGACGAATCTACATAATATCATACGGTGGTCTGCGCCACCGTTTGATCATTCTTGTGTAATGAAAATCTTTTTGGTCTTTGAACGTGCTACCTTATTTCTTAAAACTACAAGAGTTAACAGAAAGTGAATAAATTTTACGGGAAAATATGAAAGTTCAAAAACTTGATTTAAAAAAATCACAGATCTTAAAGACCCATCCATTTCAATTAAAGAAACCCACCTGCTCATCAAAATTTGAAACCCATTAACCTATTTCTTAAACCCCACCCGAAAAAAACCCCACCCAAATCGCTAAATCCCGAATCTCCTAATCAGCGTCCGACAAAATGATGAGAAAATAAAAACCACAAAGGCATCTCCAATGCAAGGTTTTCAAAAAGTATAGTTTCTTCCAGGAACCTACATTGTAGAGAGTTCTTATAAGAATCTCACATTCTTTCAGTTCTTGTACAAGAACTTTGGTTCTTATCTTGAAGTTGGTGTGAAGTGACAATATGCTATATATATATATATATATATATCTATATAGGGGAGCGTTCAAATAAAAGTCACTCACTTTGTAAAAACCGTGAAAACCTCATAAAACCAATCATAATTTTTCATTTTGTTCATTTTTTTTGTAATTATGAGAGGTTGATTAACCATTTTTGTTGTGGAGGGTGTTAATCATTGATATTATCATCTTCATTATTTTAATTTTAGAGAAATACATGAAACAGTTTCATTAAAATTTCATTAAATATTATATGAAACAATTTCATAACCATATATGAAACAAATTCATCAAAAAAAGTATTATATGAAACAATTTCATAAGATTAAACAATTTAATGAAAAAATTCCATAAGTCTAAACAATGAAATCGAAATATGAGGATGGTTTGTACGGTTTTTACATATAAGGGTGGTTTTCATTTGATCGCTCATCTCTCTCTCTCTCTCTCTCTATATATATATGTATATATATATATATATATATTAATTTGGTGAGTTGGAAATAACTTGGCAAGAAAAAGTCCGAAAGTGGGTTCTAACAAAGTAATCCCTATTCTCCTAATCACACTTGACTTCATAGCTTCGCCCACAATATTCGGCTCCTTTCGGACGAGAACAAGCAACTTCTTCTTGGCCCTCTTTGGATTTCATTGAATCGTTGTGACCTGTGAGGTAGAAATTTCATTCCTCATTGATTTTGTCATCTTTAATCATGTTGTCCGTTGAATGTTTAGAGTTCATTGATTTGGAATTTGATTATTTGAACACAGAAGACTTGCTTGGTTAGTTGGTCAATGCTTTGAGCCTTTGCTCTGTTTGAATTTGTTATTTTATTACTGCTGGAAATTTTTGAATATGCTGATAACGTGTACACTTGGTACGACATGTGTGCAATTTGTTGTTACTATTGGAATTCTGGAAATTTGAACATGTTGATAACTTGTAAATTTTTAATTCCATTTTGTTGGTCAATTGGTGCTATTTTAACCTTTCACTTACCAAAATCTACTTTGTTATAATTATTTTTAGTTTTATTTTATATCATGTTAATTATATAGCGATCAAAAGGGTGTTCGTGCAATGCATGGAGACACATTCCGATTTCAATGTTTCATTTTATTCTTTATCTACATCGATATAATAAGGTTTTATGTGGTTTTGAGAAAACGATAATATTTTTATTTTTGAAAAGGATCTTTCTGATTCTCGAAGAATGAGGGGCAAGGGAATTGATCGAGAACCGGTGGCTCACTTTTTCTAAGTAATGACGAAGAGGACCGAAACATGCCATTGAAAGACCCAGTGCTAGATGCAGAGGCGCATTATAGATCGATATGAACATTATGAGCTGTCCCGTAATAAAACCAGTTGTTGCTGATACCTTCTTCTCGGTTCCTTCTTCTCCTTCTTCCATAACGTGAGCTCGGAGAAGGAAGAGATAGRAGGGTCCTATGGAGAATGTGGTCAGAAATCCATAATAGAGTCCGACCACAACGACCGAATTGATTATCTTCATGCATAAGGATACTAGATTACCTAGTAGAAAAAAGTAGTGTTCGATCGATTACATATTAATCAACATTCGATTGATTGGTCTGAGGTTATCGACAAAAAAAATTTGTTTAAGCCACTTCGTTTCACATCGAGAATTATTTGCAGATGAAGAGATGTCAAAGGGGCTTTTTACTCCCCAAAAAATTCCTCCTAGATCTCTATCATCTCTATATAAACGCTGGCTTAGCAAGAAAACGCAAGAAAAACACTTCGAATTCATAAAAATTTGAAAAAACTATATCGATATTAGTATCAAATAACTATTTAAAAGTTTTTGTTTTATGTAATTTCTTTAATTCAAATTTTTTATTAATTTAATTTAACATAACGAAGTAATTTAATTTAGGTTAAGTTATATAATTCTTTATAAAGATAATAATTAAGTATTATGTTAAAACTTAATGATTATCCTGATTATATTTTAGATCTTTTATATTTAAAATGAGATGTTTATCTGCAGTTAGTTACACAAATTCAAAGATGAAGCTTTAATAAGTTATACTTACACACAATTCACTTGTAATATTGAATTTTAAATAATATGCATCAATAAACAGTACTCCGTACATTAAAAATGGTTTTTAAGAGTTTTTGTCGAATGCTCTATAATATAGTATAGATACCATTTCAAAACTTTCTTAGGTCCGCCCTTGCTAGTGATGGAGACGACTTGAGTGATCAAGCTCCTGAATGCAAAGCACCGGTCATAGAAAATCCCTACACTATCATATGATTATATAACGATTTTAGTTTTGTTACATACAGAAAATATGTATTTTTTAGGTAACATTGCATGATTCTCTCAATTCAAGGCTCTACAGATGGAATGATTTTTTTTTTTTTTGGGTATGAAAGGTGCATTCACTAAAAACTGAGGGGGTGATTCAGGATATTTGAGAAATAAAGGGAGTAAGATGCACCGAACTTAAAAATAAAGGACCAAACCAAGGGGCCGTTTATCAAACGCTTACCCGGGTAAGCGCTTACCATTTAACATTACCTCACCGGATGAATAGCGTAAGGACCAAGAATCTTACCCGGTAAGAATGAGATAAGAAACAAGAAGCCTTACCCGGTAAGTAAGGGCGACAACTCTTACTACGGTAAGCGTTTACCGGGTATTTTGTTGCATACGATCGTTGTTTTGGTGGACTAAAATCTTACCCGATAAGTAAATAATAATGCTAAATTTTACCGGTAAACACTTATCGGGTAAGTGTTTGGTAAACGGCCCCTAAAATTGATCCATTCTATGCTTTTTAGTCGGACACAAAGGTATCATTTTGTGAAATGTGCAATAATTAAACAAAAACACAAAGATAGAGGATCAAACTGTAATTTTGAATTTCTCTTAAAACAAACAGCACCAGCCGAGCCCTCTTTTCCCCTCACCCCCTGCCTTCTCCCTCTGTCATTGCGCAGCCGCCCCTCACCGCCGTCCGCCGGCTCCGGTCAATTCCCTGAGACTCTCACGCGCACTCTCACTCAGTCACTCACTCACTCAGGTTTTGTCCCAGAACCTAACTCAAATTTATATGTTTACCTTAGTGTTAGTCATTTGCCCTAAACTGATTAGTTAATGTTATACAAATTATGTTTGCCATGATTTATTTGTTGTTTTGAGTTGTTACATTTGAGTTTTGACTGTTGATCTATATTTTAACCCTAAATTTGATATTAGTCTTTTGACTTAAATCTGATTCAGTTTTTTTCTTGCTTCCTTTGCCCTATTAATTATTGCCAATTTGTTTGATTGTTTATTTGTTACATGGTTTGTTGCTTAAATTTTTTAGCTTAAATTTTAATTTTCTCAACCTTAGTTGTTGTTTTGTGTTATTCTGTTGTTGATGTTAATTTGTTTGATCAATCTAGGTTTTTTTTTTTAATTTTGGTTAATTAATTTTAATTTGTAAAACATTCTATTTAGTACTAAATCCTAGATGCATAAGAAAACAAAATTTCAAACCCAAGTAAAAAAGTAAAGGATAACGAGAATCAAGTCCTAAAAGTTGAGAAATTTAACGAAATCAACCAAAAAAACCGAATAAGTTCCTCGAAATCAACCAAAGCACTTAAAAAAAATCCCTCAAAATGGTGGAATTTGGCTAAAAACACATTGAGCGGCAAACTTCCTGGGTCTGCCACTGCTTCTCTTAATCATAGAGGAATACGATTGTATGCAATAGTTATTTGAGAAAAAAAACATACTTAATATTTGTTTCACTGTGAATATAAAACTCCAATGTGTTTTGTAGATTGCTTTTTGTTGAAAGAATGGGGAAATCTTCAAAGCGGATAAGAAAAGTACAGCAGAGCGACATTGGTTCGGATGATGATGATTACATCAAACACCAACTACAGAATGTAAGTAGTTTCTATACAATTCTTCCTCTCATTATTAATTCTATAACAGTGTATATGAAGAGGGTTTAATTCTGTAGCACATGATGCAATAATGTTTTATATCAATGGTAGTAAGATTGTGACAGCTTATTAACTCAAAGGTGTTTAAGATTCAAAGTTGCCCGTGTTTTGAAGATGTATGGTTTCTTATGCTGCTGACTTGCCAAACTTCTTTTACCTGTCGGTATGTGGAAAAAAGAATGATTCCATTTCCATGTTCTATGCCAAATAGATTGGAATTAATATTTTGTAACAATCTTCTATTCATCTTTTTGCCAACATCATAAACAACCGCTTCATCTTAGGCAAATTGCTACAAGTGAATTTGCATGTGAGCATGTCTATAGGTATCAATGTCGTTTTATTTTATTTCATTTTTACATTTTTAACTATTTATTTATTTATTCCATTGAACTTCATTTAGTATCAATTTTATCCAGTTAGTTAGTGTTTATATGTTTTTATTGTTTTGGCCCATGTCATTAACTTACTATTTGTTATATACCATCCTACATCATACACATAATTAACAAGTGTTTTGACTATTAGTCATTTTCTAGAATTTCATTGGTTATAACTTATAAGATAATGGAGAGGTTTGAACTAGGTATTTCTGATATTTCTTGTGGGCCAAAATCAAGTATTACCAAGTAGTTTTGACTTGAAAGTTAGCCAATGAAGGATGTTGCATTAAAATGGGACATCCCAAAATGGAATTACAATTTTCATGGGATGTAGGAGTAGTGCTATTAAAATAGAAGTTCGTGATAATCACATTTTAGATGAATTCATATAATTAAACGAATAGTCTTTAGGAGTGGCAGGGGAACACATGGAGTATTTTGTTGGCTTCTTGTATTTTTTGATGGATCCATATATTTAAACATAAAGTGTTGAGGAGTGGGAGGGGAAGATGCGGAGTATTTTGTTGGCTCATTTGATCCTTTTCCCTTTATTCTGCAGGTGGACAATGAGAAATATGGCATTGAAGATAATGACACTAATGATGACGACAATGACGAGCATGAAGAAGAGTACGACTCCGGAATGGACATAACGAATGTAAATGGAGCTCTGTTGTATTTTGCTCTGTGACTATATTATATTTCACATTGTTGATCTGTTGATAAATGTAGAAATTTCTTTGCTAATATAGTTGGAGCACGAGGAAGATGTTTCTGGAAATGAGGACAGTGATACCACCGGCAATGACGATGATGATGACGATGAAAATGAGAGCAATGAGCAGGATGATGATGGTCTAGACATGAAAGTAGAAGACACCAATCATGCCGATATGGAAGAACTTGAGAAGGAGTACAATGATCTTCGCCATGAGGAACAGTAAGATTCTCCAGTTTCTCTGAATGACAACCTTTGCTCTTTGTGTTGTGATCGTTCAAACTTTCTGATTATCATATAACACATCTGAAAATGGTTTTGTTTTTGAAGTCTGTTATGTAAAACCAGGGGAGGACTTAGTTCGTTAAAGCATGCATAACATAGTGACATGCATGCATTTTTCATTCACTTGTACATCATATAAATTGAGATTCCGAATATTCACTTTCTTGTGGAACTTTTGCAGAGATCTTTTTAGAAACATACGACGTGACCAAGGCGAGGATCTTCGGAAAGGCCAAGCGGTAAAAAATCAAAGGGTATGTGCTTCTGCAAAATTGTTGTTTTCATGCCAGCATGAGCTATGTTAGATGTTGGCTTTCCCTGATTCAAGTTGGAGAACGTCAGATTTTAATAATTCTAAGCTTAATGACTTATCTCCTTTCGTTCTTGGTTTATCTCACGAAGTGATTATTACTTGCCTTTCATCTCGTTAATCTAGCAATGTTTGGATTTGAGGGTTAGGTATTAGGTAGCTATGCATTCTCTAATTGTATGTGTTTCTGGTTTCTCGTATTCTCTGTAGTTTTCCTGCTGTTAGTTACTTGTGGATTAACTCAATATTCTTGACCTTTGTCAAGGCTCTCTGGGACAAAACTCTTGAGTTCAGATTTTTGCTGCAGAAGTCATTCTCAAACTCAAATCGACTTCCACAGGTTTACTTCGGATCATAAGTTCTTATACACTTGTAACATTTGTGCACTGTGCTAAAACACCATAGTTTAACAATGGTAACTGTCTGCAGGAGCCAATCAGATCTGCTTTCTGCAATTCTGGTGAAGGAGTTAATGAAGCATACTCAGACCTAATTGATTCAACTAAGAAAACTTTAGATTCTATTCTCAAATTGCAGGAGGTAAGATAGTTGTGAGAATTTATCTTTTTTCCTTAATAGGGGGTTTATCCATTGGCATGTTGAGTAGTTTTGTTGCATGAGTTCTTCTGTTATTGATGAGAATTTCTGTTAACAGGCACTTGTTGAGAAGAATCCATCAATTATGGAAGCAGCTGAAGGTATGTTTGGAAGTATTTAAAGTTCATTGCGGGATAAGCTAATACTTTTTTCATATTTAAGCAACACTTACTCGTCCTGATTGAGAACTTTCAAAGTATGAACATACATTTTTACTGACTGATTTGAATCTAAAACACAGATGGATTTTTTGCATGAAATATAATCTTCAGCATCTTTATAGTTTCTTTTTTTTAGTCACTAGTCAGTATAGAACACAAGTGATTTGAATTTAGAACTTTCAACGTAGAGCATGCATTTTAAGTAAGTGATTTGAATTTAGTACAAATGGATATTTTGTGACCAGTATCATCTATATAGGTTCTTGTTTTTAGTCGGTAGAGAACAAATACAGCTTGTTTATGGCGAACTGCATCTTACATTTGTAGAACCATTCGTCCAAATTGAAGGGAGGTATTCTATCGTCTTAACCAAAAAAAGCAATTTCTGATGAGCTGTTTTATTTAGTTTAGAGAGTGTTAGAGGGTTCATTCACCCATGTTTTGTCACAAATCATCACAACTGATTGCTTTATCAAAAGAATTTCAGATGATGTTCTAGCTGTCAAGTACTGTAAAAAGCGCAGAAATCCAAAGGCTTCTGGACAACTTAAACCCGTGTAGGCTATGTGATTTTTACTAGAACAGAAACATTTGAGGACGTTTTTTTGGAAGACCTAACTTTGATACTCCTTCCATGTGTTAATACTAGAGCATCATTGAACTACGTGATGCTTTGTTCAATGTTAACTTGTACCGACTTTAGCTATTTGGTACTTCCAATAAATTGTTTTGTATATCACGGATTATAACAAATGTTTTCTTCTGCATCATGTTAATGGAATGTTTGTCTTAATTGCATATTGATACAAAATTCCATCTTCAGAAGGTGATGCTGCACAAAATTCTACAAGCTTAGATGCTTCCAGGAACTCAATTGAAGGAGATGAAGAATGGTTCCAGATTTCTCAAATGCAATCTAGGTACTTTCATGTTATATGTTATCACAAGGAACAATCAGATCATCATGATTAAATGTGTATCACAAAATTTTCAGACTTAAATATATTGCAAGCTTATTGAACTTGAATTTTGCTGAATATAATAGAGAGCAATGATAATGAACTTGAAATTTACGCTTCACAATTGTTTTTGATGCTTCTATGTTGTTAGTGAGGCATTTCCAAATTTCTGGTCTGCGTGCCTTCCCCTCTCCTAGGCATATCAATATCTTTGTAAAAACTACAGTAAGGATTGAAATATAGGACATAGCAAGGACACCGTTATTGACATTATCACTATGGTGCAGAATCGCTTCTTTTAGAGACATGTCAGTGGATAAATGGCAGAGGAAGACACAAGTGACAAGTGGTGCTGCTGGCATTAAAAACAAGTTTCAAGCCTTCAATCAGGTTCGTAGATGGGTTTAACATTGCTCATATGGATCTGTAACTCTGAAATGTCTGCATCATTACTCACCCAATATTTCACTCTCGCAGAATATCAGTGAGCAAGTTGCATCTTACATGCGGGATCCGAGTAGAATGATCAAAGGGATGCAACAAAGAACATCTGCTGTTCCGGTTTTTGGAAATGTAAGCTCATAACTTCAATATTTCTCCGTCCCATGAGAACTGCAACAATTGTTTTGCTAAATTCTAAGGCAATCACCTATTTGCTCATTGCAATTATTCTGAAAACTTTGTGATAATGGAGTTGTTCTACAAAATTACTCATGGTATTTATGAGACATTTCACTAGTTAAATAAATCCCTACAAATGCACCTGCCTGGTTAAATGTTTCACTTTTCATGAGATAGTGGAATACCTTATTCAGGGGCTGTTTGGTTGCTTTTCCATCAAGTCCTGTATAGATAAAGATGTGCTGTGTGGGTTAATCTGTCTGTATAAATTGGGAAGATTTTTGTTTGAGAGGGTTTTTTCATAGATGGAATAAGCATGTTTTCATATAATGGGGAAGGGTAGGTTTTGAAAAAACTTGGCTTTCTGCATAAAGCTCCCCCTAGAAGCTTATTGAACAAGTCACTTTCTATATCGTTAAGCCACTATCAAACAGTCATGTATAGGTGACCGAATAAGTTATGAGTTCCATTAAGCTCATTAAGAAGCTAACGAACTGGCCCTTAGAGTTCTAACTTTGCTTACTTTTTATCACATTCTTTTTTTTTTTGTTTCTTTATCTTAGTACATTTTAATTTATTTAATTTCACTCTCATGTTATTGGCAGGTTCCTGACTCAACTCTTAATAAGGATGAGATGATAAATGCTGATGGTGATCCTGAACTACTTGATGACGCCGAATTCTATCAACAGTTACTCAGAGAATTCTTTGAGACCGTTGATGCAGGATCGTCTGGTAAGCAATCCGAGCATTTGCATTTTGGATTGTCACGCTTCCTATAATCCTGGTTTTTATTTGTTTTTTGTTCAACTAATGGACTTACTCGTGGGTTGTCAAGTGTTGATGTTTACATTTGTTGGCTATCCTCAGAGACCGCATTCTATGCTCTGAAGAGACTGCAAACCAAAAAACGCAAAATTGTTGATCGTCGAGCTTCTAAAAGCCGTAAGATCAGGTACGTGATGACATACCATACTTACCCGAAAATATCATTCTCTGTATATAAATTTTGTTAATTTCCACTTGTTGCTCACCAATCACACATTCGTGATTTGACGAATTTGCCCTTATTATGCTGATTAACAAGAAATATGCCTGGAAATGTTACTTATGATGTTGGTTTGCAGGTATGATGTTCATGAGAAGATTGTGAATTTCATGGCTCCTGAGCCCATGAACATACCTCCAATGGCCCCTAAATTATTTGAGAACTTATTCGGCCTAAAATCCCAGAAACCACCCACTGCAGTATCCTCTTAAACCTACCTTACCCAATCCAATTTTGTATGCATTTTTATTGATGAAATCTTGTAAATCTTTGGATTTTTGAATTTATACTTGATTATTCTTCATTACACTTTGTGTGTGCGTGTGTGGTTGAATTTATATATATATATATATATATATATATATATATATATATATATATATATAGGGTAGGGATTGCAAATGGTTCTTGCGGGTACGCGGGACCCAATTGCCGATCCCTAATCTATATCTTCGTTGAGGGATAAAATTGCATCTCTGTTCCCGTCCCTATTCATATTAATAGTTGTTTATTACTATTAATATTAATAGATATTAATTTATATTTTTAATTGAACTTAATTTTAAATTATTAACTAGTATTAATTGCAAACTATTAATTAAG